AAAAGGAAAAAAAAAAAAGATTTGGGGAATGTGGCTCAGTAGTAGGAGGTTTAGCTTGTATACTCAGAGTCCCAGGTTCAATCTCCAGTACTGTTAAAAATAATATAACAAATTTAAAAAGTGGGTTATTCATCTTCCCCAAAGCCTCCCGTAGTGTCTCTGTAGAACTCTAGAACACATATTTTATTTTTTTTAAATATTTATTTATTTATTATTTATACAATATTCTGTATGCCTGCTGGCCAGAAGAGGGCACTAGACCCCATTACAGATGGTTGTGAGCCACCATGTGGTTGCTGGGAATTGAACTCAGGACCTTTGGTAGAGCAGGCAATGCTCTTAACCTCTGAGCCATCTCTCCAGCCCTAGAACACATATTTTAGAAGATGTATACATCTAGTATACAGATGTGGATTGCTGTGTGACAGTTTCCGTGAGTTTGAAACATTCCGTCTTGCAGGGAAAACTCCTTAAGCAGGGAGTGTAACAACTCAAAATAGTTCCAGAAAGTCCCTAAAACTGACCAAATTTACTAGGCCTCTCCCTGCAGGAGTAAGCAATAAAAGCTGAGCATCCCCCTTCAGAGGGCCAGAGCTGGCCCGCCAAGAAACTCTCCGAAGTCTGGAAGAAGCAGAGACCAGTGGAGTTGCCTGGAAGAGGTTAAGACGAGGAAGAGGTTTAGACCAGAGTCACTTGGAAAGGACAGCCTGTTGAACTGCCTGTGGGCTGTGCAGTGTGCTCCAGGTTTAGTTTTGGTGACCTGTCCCCCTGCTGGAGTGGGTTTTGGTGAGGCATCTGTCTCAGCCATTTCTACTTCTGTAGATAACCCCTCAACCATACTCCTGAAATAACCCCCGTACAATCCTATTGGTCCACAGCTGAACTTTGACCTGTTGTGGAGAAGATAAGTAGTGTCTCCCCAGGAAAAGTTTTGTCACACAAGATATAGTTCAGGGGCTGGAGAGATGGCTCAGTGGCTAAGAGCACTGACTGCTTTTCTAGAGGACCCAGGGTTCAATTCCCAGCACCCATATGGCAGCTTACAACTGTCTGTAACTCCAGGATCCAGCACCCTCACACAGATATACATACAGGCTAAAACACCAATAAAATAATTA